GAACTCTTAAAGGTGTTTTTGCAGAGAGAAAAGGATAAATAGACAAAAAGTAAATAATAACAAAACTTAGTAAATGTATGAGGCTTTTGTCTTGTAATTTTTTCATAAGCTTGAAGTTATCAAAAATTATCAAAATTGGTAGAGTAACATACTTACACAGCTTTACATTAAAAAACAAAGATGATTTTCAGTGTATATTACATTAAGTGAACAGAGAAGGGGAGACTAGAGAGACAAAATGCACAAGAGTAAGCATACTGCATTACCATTTGAAATATGAACACTACTATCTGTAATACAAACATACATGAGAATGGACATCAGTTTATGTGAGCACATGGCAATGCAGGCTGAAGCCAAGAAAAGGCATTAGGGGACCAAAACCTGGCAGGGGGTTCACAGGATATCGTTTTGTAATGTTATTCTGTCCCAGGCACCTGTCTAATTGCAAATGTTTAGACACGTAAGATAATGTTAAAAACGCAGAAAAACTAAGGAAAGAAGCATTTACTTTGACAAAATAGTACCCTTAACAGAGCAAAAAACTCAAGTTAACTACAGGTGGTTTTGATTAAAGCATGACTGATAAAGCTTAGGTTAAGGAAAGAACATTATTTTATATTGTCCCTTCTAGAGACAAAGAAGTAAGCTAGAAGAAGATAGGCTTTGTCCTAAAGAATATTTTTTCAGCTCATGGATTATCATTTCAAGAATATCATACATACATACATATATACATAATATATATGTATACATAGCTATATATATATACATACATATATACATTCTTTATATACATAAAGAATATACATTGTTTTAGATTGTGCGTTTTACTAACCTTTTTCTTCTTTCAACATTTTATTTCAAAATAGGCCATTTGGGTCATGAATGCTGTAAGCTTTGACATTTGAAGTTATATGGTAATGTTTATATAGGGTGTGGTTCCGTGGAAACATGAAAGCAGATTCTAAGTTGACACAGTAAAACATTAACGTCAGTAATCTAATACCTGCCTTTTATTATAATGATAGTGGCTTTGTTGGAACAATTCTTTCTTAAGACATGTTAAGGAACTAAGAAGGGAATTTAGCGTTAGTTTTCGTAACTTTTGGTGTGAATAGATCCATACAGTTCTTATACTTCAATACTTTTCTGTTTTCCTGAAATTAGAGAATATAAAGTATACTGATCTATAATGCTGTAACTAGGACATCTCTGCCCTCGATGGCCCTGAATGGATAGGCCTCAGAAACTCCACCACTGCACTCTATAGTCAAAATCTCTTTCTGGGCTCCAGGCAGGTAGATCCATGTCCATCTCTATCTGCTGTTTCTACTTATGTCCAATTGGTACGTAAATTTTCATGTCTGAAACTTTTGAATTTTATTCCTCCTCATCCTACCTTCCAAACTCCCTTTTCTTCTTGTCTTTCCCACCTCATTAGACCGCATTAAGGTTTAGGTTACCTCTTCTGAAGCCTGGCACCCTTCTGACTTCTCTTCCTCTCTGTCACATCTCACCCCTTAGAAAGCCTCATAGGCGCTACCTTTGTTTATAGAGTGTCTTGATTTTCACTGTACAGACCATAGCCTTCTCCTGACATCATTATTGCAAAGCCTGTGAATTGATTACTTTATTCAGCTTTGTCTCACTGTTCCCTGTTTATTCTTCATACAACAGCCAGAGTGGTAGACTTTGGGTGTTTCTAAATGTTTTCTTGATAAATAGATATACAACAAAAATTGCACAAAACATAATCTACAATCTGATCAACTTTCACAGTGCAACATACCTGCGTCACTAAAATTCAGAACAAGAAACATTACCATTACTGCCATGTATTAGTTAGCTTGGCATTACTATGACAAAACATGAGATAAGCAAACTTTTAGGAGAAAAAGCTAATTTCGGTTCACAGTGTCAGAGATTAGAGTCCATTATTAGTTGGCCTTGTCATTTGGGGGCCTGTGGGAAGGCATTATACCATGGTGGTAGCACATAGTCGTGGAGGAAGCTGCTCATCTCATGGTGGCTGAGAAACCAAGATTGACACAGGAAGGAGGTGGTATCCCAGTATCCCTTGATCCTAAGTCTCACCCCCACGATCCTAACAACCCAACATCCTCCCCTCAGCTCTTCAGCTCTAGGCTAGTCCTCTACTGCTTGAGCCACTTCTGGTTTTCTGAGTGGCTTATTGGAGATAAGTCCCGGGGCTTTCCTGCCTGAGCTGGCTTGGAAGCATGATCCTCAGATCTCAGCCTCCTGAGAGCTAAGATTACAGGCGTGAGCCTGAAATATGCATATGCATTCTTAGAGTTATTTCTGCTAAGAATGCTCTTTCTCCACATCTCTAGTCTGGATCACTCAATTTCAATCAGCTTTCTGCTCAAATGACTTCAGAAAGGGCCACCTAATACGTCATTTAACATTAAGGAGTAAATAATATATGAAAGTCCTGTACATGCATGAAATTATCAATGATGTCTCCATACTATACTGTTTTCAGGGAAGGAATTGTTTTCTATTTGCTTTAGTGTATCTTGTTTGCAGTATAACACATAATACTCAAATAGGATGCTAAATATAATGCATCTGAGAATTACTTGTTTTTTCTTTTTGGATACATTAAATCAGACCCCAATATAGATATTTTATCATTTGGATGATCTGTGAGGCAACATCAACTTTGTATGCTTTCTTTTCTTTTTATTTTTTTTTACTTTATATATTTTTTGTTTCTCCACAACACAGTTAAATTTATATTTTGAAAAACTTTTACAAATTTTCTGAATTGAAGCAATCTATTCCCATATATAAAAATATATGTAGCTGGGAAGGTGGCTCAGTGGTAGAACGCTTGCCTTGCATGCATGAGGCCCTGGGTTCGATTCCTCAGCACCACATAAGCAGAAAAAAAAAGCCGTAAGTGGCGCTGTGGCTCAAGTGGTAGAGTGCTAGCCTTGAGCTGAAGAGCTGAGGGACAGTGCCCAGGCCCAGAGTTCATGCCCCACGACCGGATCCCCCCCCAAAAAAAGAAAAAATATATATGCAAATATATATTTATTGTAAAGATAATGTACACAAGGGTTACAGTTACATGAGTAATATAATGAGTAAATTTCCTATAGAGGGTTGTTACTCTCCTCTTTGTTTTTTCCCCTACCATCCCTTCCCTCTCTGCCTTCCCAACTCCTCCCCCTGCCAAAGTTGTAAAGTTCATTTTCTTTTTTTTTCTTTTTTCTTTTTTTTATTGTGAACATACCATACAGAGGGGTTACAATTACATGGGCAAGATAATGAGTACATTTCTTATCAAGCATTGTTGCCTCCTCCTTTGTTTCCCCTTCCCATCCCTTCCCATCTCCCCCCTCCCCCCGCAAAGTTGTAAAGTTGGTTTTTCGACATAACAACTTATACATCTCATTGTTGCAATGGGTCCACCTGTATCCCTATTTAAAGGATTTGTTTTTGCCCTTCCCCTCCACAAATTATACCAACATCAAATACAGTGAAAGCAAGGATTATACCGTGGGGGAGGGACATACAAAGCAACAAAGAAACATAGGAATAGACATAGGTCCCATGGTTTCCCTTATTTGCAATAACTAGTATATGTCTGAGACAGGCAGAAAAGGTCAGATAAGTTGATGTTAGGTGAAATGAACCCCAAGATAAGTATTCAAATGTTTTTGCTTTCATGCAATTGTTTCTAACATATTTATAAGATGATTTCTTTGTTACTTTGTGTGCTTTCTAAAAATAAATGCTAGGTAACATTGTAGCTTAAAACTTACAAATGCACTTTAACTATTTTACATGAAGATAATATATAAGCTTGAATCCAAATGAATACTGAATGGTTAGCTAAACAACTTAGAAGGTTTCAGTAGCTTTATAAAGCCAGGCCCTATTTTTCTTATAGCAGTAGTACTAATTGCATTTTAAGTTTGCAAAGTTGACTTTTTCCTAGGCATTTTGTAGTCTAGACTTAGTGATTCTTTTCAACCTGCTTCTTGCTTATTGGGGCTATTCTGTTGCTGTATACATAAAATTTGCTTTTTATGCAAGACAGATCTATCTCTCATTTATTTATATGTTCATTATATGTTCATTATGTATGTTCAAGGCCTTAATTTCCACAATTGATTATATTTGTTTTCCTTCTCCAAAAGTTTTAAACTAAACATGATTCTTTTATTATTTGTCAAATTGCATAAAATTGCCCTCTAGCTATGAAAGCCATTTCTGGGTCAATTGACAAAATTTAGAGTTTAGTTGGTAGACTAAAGAATTGCATATATTTAGCTGGGTGCCTGTGGCCCACGCCTGCAATCCTAGCTACTCAGGAGGCTGAGATCTGAGGATCGCGATTCAAAGCAACTCAGGGCAGGAAAGGTTGTGAAAACCGGAAGTGGTGCTGTGGCTCAAGTGGTAGAGCGCTCTCGCATTGAGCTGAAGAGCACAAGGACAGCGCCCACGCCCAGAGTTCAAGCCCCACAACCAACAAAAAAAAAAAAGAATTGCATATATTTGATTATTTTTCTAGCTGGCAATTGCTTTGGGTAGGTGAGAAAATATTCTTAGAAACTTGATGAAGAATTTTTTAAAAATTAGCTTTCCCTGTCCAAAGAAATCCAAAACAATGACATGTGACACAGATTTAATAGCTCCCCGGTCATCAAGAGAGTGAGGCAAAACTGGCTCTTAGTCCAGTGATCCTCTGAAGTACTATGCTACTTTCTTGTTAAATAGTTTAACAGAGCTCGAATTGAATACTGGGTCCAGTAACCCTGCTATGTGGTTTGTTTGCACAGGATTCAGTCAAGCTTGCATATTTGTGATGTGGCTTAATATTTTTGCTATAACCTGATCTTCCCTACAACTTAACAGCTTCTCTGTTACCAAGACACCTTGTTATTAGATGTACTGCCCTCTTAAATTAAAAATTCCAGCATTTGCAGTTTAACTAACAATGGTTTTATCCTTCTCTTTCTTAATAGCTACTGCATCCTGGGACACCTTTCTCATGCTATGGAATTTGAAACCACAAGCTAGAGCTTACAGATATGTAGGTCACAAGGACGTTGTAACCAGCGTGCAGTTTTCTCCACAAGGGAACTTACTAGCATCTGCCTCACGAGACAGAACTGTTAGACTCTGGATTCCTGATAAGTAAGAGAAATAAACACTTGATATTATTTGGCTTTAGGAATGTGAAGGAACTATGCCTCTCTGCTTTGAATGTACTTCTTGGGTATGCCTAAATTCCCCACCTACCTGTATTTAATTGGGACACACAATTGTGGTTCCTTCCCTAGAAGCCCCACCCAGCATTTGTAACCCAGGTAACTGGCGCACCTGGGGGCAGTGGGAAGTCCCCCAGGCTCTGAGGTCTTTGCTGTGGCTACACCTCCTCCCACCACATATATCAGTCACCATGATTGGTTCTGCCCTTTGTTTTGCTCCTGGCCCACTTGCAGCCTTTCCCTTTCTACCTTTCTCTCCTTCCCTTTCCCTTCCCTTCCCCTACATCCTTTGTACCCCCTGCACACCTCCATCTTGTACAAGTGGCAGAATGCTCTTCCCCCAATAAACTCTTTTCTGCCTGATCCAAACCTTAAAATTATGTCTTCTTTCTAAAAAATTACTTCCAGCATGGAGATATGAATGTTTCAAGCTTTCTGGGGATGGTGGTAGTTGGCAATTTGTTATTGATTGATTAATACCTGTACTTGGCTTCAATTCAGGATCTCATGTGCTTCCTTAGATTTTTTTTCATCAATGCTGGTACTCTACTATTTGAGCCACACCTCCACTTCTGGCTTTTTGGTGGTTAATTGGAGATAAATCTCACAGTGTTGTCTGCTTGACCACTGGCTTTGAACTGAAATCCTCAGATCATAGCTGCCCCCCCCCAAGAAGTTAAGCACCCCTCCATAGTAATTAGCAATTATAGATTATCTACCAAGAAACATATGCATTGCAGTATATAAAAAGTCTACAGTTTATTCACTTCCTATTGTCCATTCATAGATGTTTTAGGGACCCTTTGATGTTTACTGACTAGCTCTGTGCTTGAACTGTTCTTTGATTTTGATTAATAAAATTTATTTTGTGGCGCCAGCATTTCCTTGTTAAAGAAAATTTCTGACAATATAAATTGCTGCATTTTCAGGTCATACCAACTATTTTAAGCAATTATGAAATTATATTTTTTAAGAAAAGCTTTAAAACGTAAGTAGCTAAGTGTGGTGGAGCATGCCTGTAAGTGTAAGGGAGGTAAGGAAAGGAAGATGAAGGGTTTGAGGCAAGCCTGGGTTACAGAGCATATCCCAGCCTGGCGTGGCTTATGAGATTTTGTCTAAAAAAAAACAAATGAACAAACAAAAACAACTTGAAGAATGTAAACTTTTAAGCATACGTGAAAAACTGAATAGCGTCTTCCCAACTATTCATCAACTAACTTCATTTTACTTCATCTAACTCCTTTTTTAGTACTTTTAGAACAAATTTCATGCATCCTATCCTTGCTTGCTGTGTCTTATCAGAAGATAGACATTTGGGCATTTTCCTTGAATCTGTTGTAACAGGATTTGATTTGCAGCATGTGACTGAGCAGGCCTGGACACTTAACCAATCAAAGCAAGTTCACAGGGGATTACCCTGCCACTGGACACTTTATCCTGCCGTCACGTAGGAAATTTCATTCTGAGAAATCTGTGTTTTTATCTGGATGAAAGTAAAACCTGTTGATGAGAAATGACAAGTTATAGTGATAATGTGCATGCATGTAGAAGGGAGTAACAAAGGGGCAGAGACCAGTTTGGGGCTCAAAGGAGAATTGTGCTCTAAAATCTTTAAGTTTGGAATTTAGGGCTAGCACAGATTTTAGTCTTTTATAATGGAAATCTCAGGGAACAAGGGTTAGCAAGGTTAAGTCACATGGAGCCCTTAGCTTATAGCTCCTAATGGCTCATGGCCCATCTTAGTGCGCTGATTATGTTTGTGTATCTCTGATTTCTCTTTCTAAATCAGATGATGGAGGGCCAGGGCAGTGGCAGGTCATACAAAAACAGATGCTTCCACCAGTGACCAGTTATCTCACAGTGTTTAATAGTCCCCCACCTGTTTCGTTCAATACAGAAATGATCGTTTTAATGATTTTATGCATTCTATGCATATGGGTTCTCCTCACTTGATGTGGGAGAGGGTGACTCCCACAGCCTCATTGTGCTGATAGCTGGGTGGAGGCCAAGCATTTCCCTCACACGTCCGGAGCCTTGGTGCTGTGGTTGGCCAGGATGCCTTGCTTCTCCACGCGTACTGACTCGGCAGTATAACATGGACTTTCTTAATAGTATGGTAGTTGGGGCCTAGAGAGTAAAAACAAAGCCACTCCCCCTTTTCAAGGGCTAGACTCAGGGCTTGCACAGTGTTACTTCTGCTACATTCTCAGGATTAGGGTCACACACCAGTCAAGACTCAAGTGAGAAACCAATTGTGCAAGTAACACTGTGCAAGCCCTGAGTCTAGCCCTTGAAAAGGGGGAGTGGCTTTGTTTTTACTCTCTAGGCCCCAACTACCATACTAGCTGGTCTGCTACATTCTCAGGATTAGGGTCACACACCAGTCAAGACTCAAGTGAGAAACCAATTGTGCACCAGCACAGCAAACACAGAACACACCTATTTTGTTTCTTACATGCTTCCTGGTGAGACAAGTTCCTGGCGAGGCCAGTCCGCAGTGGAGACTAAAGCCTTTAAAATGAAGGCTTGCGGAGCAGCCTGCTGGTGTGTGGAATGGGGAAGTGGAGATCAGTGCGGGTTTCCGGTGATCCAGAAAGGGAAGACTGTCCCTTCCCTTCCCATCCCAGTCACCACAGTCACCCAGTCACCAAGTCTTCTTTATCTTCTCTCAGTTTTAAACTGTACTTCTGATTTCACCATATAAAAGATCTTCTTGAATCTTCACTGTAGTAGTCCTGGAATGTGCCCCCTCCCATCTTTGTTGAAAATCAATTTTAGTTATTCCTGATGTATTATACTGGTCAGATGATGGAAATTAAATGGTGAAGTCTCTTTGCCATCTACAGGCCACAGAAAGGGGCAAGCCAGGTTGGCTCTTAAAACATTTACACCTGGATTTTTCCCAGTGGAATTCATAAAATTGCCCTCTTTTATGTGCCTACATTGTGCTTAGGTCTGATCCTACTGAGATGACTGAAGCAGCAATCTTCTCCTCAAAAGCACACTACTTAAGAGAAGCAAATCTGTTATTTTGTTTGTTTATTTGTTTGTTGTTGTTTTTGCCAGTCTTGGGTCTTAAACTCGGGCCTGGGCACTGTCTCTGAGTTTCTTTTTGCTCAAGGCTAGCACTCAACCACTTGAGCCACCGTACCACTTCCAGCTGTTTCTATTTATGTGGTACTGAGGAATTGAACCCAGGGCTTTATGCATGCTAGACAAGCACTCAACCACTAAGCCACCAGCCCATCATTTTTTGTTGTTGTTTATTTTTGTTAGCCCTGATATAAGCCAAGTGCTGGTGGCTCATGCCTGTAACCCTAGCTACTCAGGACGCTGAGATATGAGGATTGTGGTTTAAAGCCAGCCAGGCAGGAATGTATGGGAGACACTCATCTCCAATTAACTACAAAAAGCTCTGGCTCAAATGGTAAAATGCTATCTTTGAGCAAAGAAGTTTAGAGACAGTGCCCAGGACCAACACACACATACACACACACACACACACACACACCACATGTCATGATGTGATGTATAGGTTAAATAATATTAGTAGATCCAAAGCCACCTGAAGTTGGGAAGTAGTTCACCTGAGAAAGCACAAAGGGCAGAGGTATGTTTTAAGCGCTGTGGCTGTTCTGAGTACAAAGTTCAACAGCACACGTAGGAGTTGCCTTTCAGGTTGGAAAGCCAGAGATGTGTTTACACTAGGATTTATACACTTGGTTATGTAGCTACTTCTAGCAAGTAGATAAGCACAATTTGTATGTGACTAGCAAGGATGAAAGATTAGAACAAGGAAGCCAGATAAGAGGATTTTGAAGTAATCTAGGTGAAGGATATTGAGGTTATATAGCTACCGAAGGGTAAGAGCTGGGGTACAAAGAAGCAGGCCATTCAAAAGACATTGAGGAAGTGGACACACAAGGTTTATTTACTTCCTTGAAAAGAGGAAGGGGTGGCACTAATTGTGATTTCCAGGATTCTGGTTCAGAAGTAGGTGGCTATTGTTTCAGGACTCTAAGATCTAGGTAGAAGTGGCTGTAACCAATCAATAATAGGTTGAGGGGCAGATGTGTGGGAGGTAGGATATCGAAAAGACTGAGACTGTCTAGCTTCCATTGCCAATCTTTTTCACTCAGTTGTGGCAGTTTTCCCCTTATGGTATCAATAACATAAATAAGATTTTCTAAGTGGGAACATTTCTAAGTCCTATAAAGTAAAAGTGCCTTGAGAACATAACAATACTGACAGAGTATTTTAGTATTTTTCAAACATAACCTTATAGCTCCAAAACTACTGAAAGCTGCTCCTACTTTAACAATTCTTACGCTTTTTCCTCCTCAAGTACCTCACATTATTTTCTCTATCTTTTTTCACTTTCTAGCCAAGAAAGAAAAAAAATCTGAAATTTTAGATGCTGAAATATGCTTTTTTTCCCCATTAATATTGTGTTTCATTTATGAATACTAAGATCAAGTCTACAAAGTAAGCTAGGCCTTCAGTACACATGTGAGTCTCAGTTCTCATCATTCCAACTCACTGGAGGCTGGGAGTGTAGGTGACCACGGTGAGGATAGATCACCCAGGGCACTGTGTAGAAAGGCAAATGACACCTAGGGTATCTTTTCTTCCCAACCCAGGCTGCCAAGTCACACAGCATCCATGTGATCCAGGTACAAAATACTGCTTGGAGCTATTAATTTAATCAGTCCTAGTTTTTCTAGGTTGTACTTTCTTTTCTGAGTAGCTGGATTACCTGGCCTATAGATTGTCATTTCTAAAGGAAGTTAAAAATGCATGGTAGAGGGGCTGGGAAGTTGGCTCAGTGGTAGAGTGCTTGCCTTGCATGCATGAGGCCCTGGGTTCAATTCCTCAGCACCACATAAGCAAAAAGAAAAAAGCTGGAAGTGGTGAAGTGGCTCAAATGGTAGAGCGCTAGCCTTGAGCTGAAGAGCTGAGGGACAGTGCTCAGGCCCAGACTTCAGGCCCTACAACCGGACCAAGAAAAATAAAAATAAAAAAAGCATGGTAGAGACTGGCTCAAAACTTCTTCCCCTAGCTTCTAACTGAGACAGAAGTAGAATGTGCATGTCAAGGGTAGGTATAACCAAGGGTCTCCCTTGTTTTAATTTTATTAAACCCAGCCAGTATGAAACAATATGGAGGTGCAGTACAGCATACTTCATACTTCTTCTAGGTTTACAATAGTTAAACCATTTTATACATTTCCAAGTCTTCGTTGTAATTAAATGTTGATTATAATTAAGTCAAGTAAGTTATTAGTATTAAACTGTTTGTTTCCAGGAAAGGGAAATCTTCAGAATTTAAAGCACATACAGCTCCAGTTCGAAGTGTGGACTTCTCATCCGACGGTCAATATCTTGTTACAGCTTCTGAAGACAAGTCTATCAAAGTATGGAATATGCATCGCCAACGCTTCTTATATTCCTTATACCGACACACACACTGGGTACGCTGTGCCAAGTAAGTGAAGAAAGTTTCATAACAACACTTTTTTTCTTCTATAACAGATTTTTACCTCCCTATCTCCAGAAATGAGATTGAGGGTAAATTCATTCATCTACTCAGCAAAAATGAATTACATGATTATTGTGTGCTGGGACCAGTAGTAACCTTGTTCTCATGGAACTTGTGGTTTTGTTTTGTTTTAATTGTGAAAATACCGTACAGAGGGGTTACAATTACATGGGCAAGGTAATGAGTACATTTCCTATGAAGCATTGAAGGGAACTTGTGTTTTAAAGAGATAGACTTTTTTTTTTCAAGAAAGGACAATAGGTGGAGAGGAAAGGGATGGTAGGGGAAATATAAAGGAGGGAGTAACAATACTCGATAGGAAATGGATTTATTACCTTGCTCATGTAACTGTTACCCCTCTGTACAGTATCTTTACAATAAAAATACATATTAAAAAAAAGAAAGGACAATAAAAAACTGGGTAGGGTTGGTAGGGGTGAGCCATTTTAAACAGTGTTCCTGGATGCCTCTCGGAGAGCAGGGCTTTGAGCAGAGAATTAGAGGAAGGAGGGAGTAGAGCTTGAAGAATTTGTGAAAGGAGGTGGGAGTCTGCTAGCTATTTGAGGGAAAGCAAGAGTAGTGAATGGAGCAGAGGTAGGAGAGTAAAGAGGGAGACCAGGGCAAGGTCAGGGTATTCTGCCGTGTTCCACGGGGAGAAGGAACGCCTCGCACTGTCCTCTCTCTGGTAGTATAGTAGGATCACTCTGACTACTGTGCAGTCCATAGTTAGAACGTCCTCAAAACACTAAAAATAGAACTATTACATGGTCTTGCTGTCAACTCTTTGTTATGTACATAAAGGAATCAAAAGCAGCACACAAAAGAGATACCTGCACATTGCTGTTTGTTTTGGTACTATTCACCATAGTCCAGTCATGGGATCAGCCTAGATGCTCATAAATGAATGAATGGATAAAAATCTGGTATACACTTATATGTGTGTATACACATATATAATATAATCACATTATATATATTTATACAGAGAGATTACATACATACATGAATACACAGTGGAGTATTAGCCATAAGAAAGAGAAGAAAAATGTCATTTGCAGAAAAAATGGATGGAACTGAAAACATCCTATTAAATCACATAAGCCAAACTCAGTAAAGACAAATGGTTATGTTTCCTTTTTCTTTTATTTTAAGGAAGGAAAAGGAGAAAAGAGACCTGAAAGTAGGAGGAGGAGTTAAGAAATAGGAAGATTTGGGGGGGAGGGAGGCTGGGAAGGGATGTGAAGGGTAAACCAAAGGAGGAGGCTGCAATGCTTGGTAAGAAATGTACGCATTATCCTGCGCATGTAATTGTAACCCCTCTGTACAGTATGTTCACAAATAAAAAATAAAAAAAAAAGAAATAGGAAGATTGCCAGTGGGAAGGATAAATGTGCCAGGCGCTGGTAGCTCATGCCTGTAATCCTAGCTTCTCAGGAGGCTGAGATCTGATGATCAAGGTTCAAAGCCAGCCCGGGCAGAAAAGTCCTCAAGACTCATATCTCCAATTAACCACCAGAAAACCAGAAGTGGTGCTGTGGCTCAAGCAGTAGAGTGCTCGCCTTGAGCTGAAGAGCTGAGGGATAGAGCACAAGCCCAGAGTTCAAGCCCCACAACCTACCAAAAAAAAAAAAAAAAGGATAAATGTGGATAAAAGGGGCCGTAAATAATTCACAGTACATATATGGAAATGTCATAGTAGAAGCCACTATTTCATACAATTACTATAAACTAATAAAAAAATATTTAAGTTGATCCATAGCAAGCATGATGGTGCATGCCTATAATGCCAGCTATTTGATTTTGGAAGTTTCTTTTGTTTTTTTGTTTGCTTCTTTGTTTTTATTGTCAAGGTGATATACGGAGGGGTTACAGCCAGTCCTGGGGCTTGAACTAAGAGCCTGGGCTCTGTCTCTGAGCCTCTCTGTGCTCAAGGCTAGTGCTCTACCACTTAAGCCACATTCCTACTTCCAGATTTTTCTGTTTTTGTGATACTGAGGAATCAAACCCTGGGCTTCATGCATGCTAGGCAGGCACTCTACCACTAAGCCACATTCCCAGCCCCCAAAGCCAACTGTTTGAGAGGCAACTTGGAGAGACCTTGTTTCAAAACAAAATAAAATATAAAAAGAACTAGGAATATAGCTTAATGGGAGAGCACTTTACCAGCATATGCAAGATCCCTGTTGCTATACTAAATACTACAAAAATAAATTATATGTATTACATATGTGTGCATGTATGTGTATATATTGGACCAGAAATAGGGATAGATGGTTAGGCCACTATGTCAGTGCAAATCTCCATGTGGATATTTTGAGAAGAAGCAGTTGGATGCTAAAGGGAATTTGGAGTTACAGCAACAGTATTTACTCTTACACCAAAATGACAGAAAGAGGAGTCAAGGAGAACTGTAGAATCTTTGTTAGAATCTGTTGGTCAGTTAACAGCCACAGAGTTCTAAAGATACACTGCCAAGAAACTCCAAGTTCACATCTCATTTCTCCATCAGAGTTGCCTAGGAAAGGAAGACTGTTTTCTTTTCCCAATTTGTAGGTGAGAAACATAGATTTTAGAAAGCTACAATTAGGACTCATCTGGTTGAAAGTGACAGAAACACAGAGAACTTCATTTTCTCCCCCTATGGTGGTTGGTTACTTGGCTGACGTGTGATCTTGGAATAGAAGACTAGAACCAGGGACTCCAGTACCACCAGCTTTCTCCCAGTTCATTGGTTACAGGAGCCTTTTTTGACTAACAGCATCTCATTTTTCTTCTGGTTTATAGTTCATAGTGGTTTTTTTTCTCCTCTGCTTCTCTAAGATCTTTTATTTGTAGCACTTTTCTCATGGTGAGCCTAAAAATAGTTGACTTCTAACCGAGACCCTCAGATTTCAACCTCTTGAGTAGGCCAGACATGAGCCACCTGCACCCAACCTCAAGATCACTTTTGTTGCTTATAGAAAATGGAGGCACAGGGCTAGATGTGGTTTAGCAATGGATTGGAATGAGGGGCATTGGAAGGGAAATAGCAATCAGTAATGACTCTCTTGCCGAGAAAAAGAATGTTGAAGAAGAAGCAGATCAGAGGAAGAAAGATGATAAATGTGAGTTTAGAAAAGTTCAGAGTTGGAGGTGCTTACAGGCAGCTTATGAAAGGTGACCAAATAGGACTCATGGGCAGAAATCTCAAGAAAGAATAGCTATAAATAAATAGATAGTGATTTCATTTACTGTTTGTCTCAGTTTGCAGGAATCAATTCTGTTGTTGTAGTTAAAGATGGATTCTCTTCTAATGCTGACCAACACTTTAGAAAATGTAGAAATTTTGTGTCTATCCTTCAATTTCACCTTAAGTACATAAACAACAAATCATAAGCAAATTCTGAGACTGCCAATTTTTAAAAATGCATATATGAACGTTTTAGTCTGAATGTAGTCAAAACTTGCTAGTGTAACAGATAGAAAATCATGGCTAGTTGATTGTAAGCTTCCGGGGGTTATCTGACTGGGTAGTTTCAGAATTCACCCTAGGACTGAAAGTTTTGTACTTATCTAGGCAGTCTTATTACACTACTGTTCTTTGTTTGGTGGCCTTCCTATTAAAGGGCCACAGGCTTCTGAGGTCCTTTTGCTTAATGATTTGTTTCTTACAGAACATGGAACAGTTCTCACTCTGTTTGGTCCTAGAACACTGAAGGCTCAAAATGTGTTTATGGAATATATACTTTAATGATAAGAAACATCAGTAGATGACTGGAGGTATAGCTCTCAATGGGAAAGAACTTACCTAGTATGGGAGGGAGGGAGAGAAGAAAGGAAAGAAGGAGATAAAAAGACAAAACAAGAAATAAAAGGAAAACTTGGATTTCTTACAAATGCTTTTTGGGGGGGGGCACCATTGGGCTGGAACTCTGGGCTTGGGCGCTTTCCCTGTGCTCTTCAGCTCAAAGTGAGTATTCTACCACTTTAGTCACAGTACCATTTCCAGTTTTCTAGTAGTTATATATATAAGAGTCTCACAGACTTTGCTGCCCAGGCTAGCTTTGAACCGTGATCCTCAGTTCTCAGCCTTCTGAGTAGCTAGTATTACAGGTGTGAGTCATGGCACCCAACTTACAAATACATTTTGTTATTGTTGTTGTTGTTGTGGGTCATGGGGCCTCGGGACCTGGGCGCTGTCCCTCAGCTCTTCAGCTCAAGGCTAGCGCTCTACCACTTGAACCACAGTGCCACTTCCGGCTTTTTTCTTTTTGCTTATGTGGTGCTGAGGAATCGAACCCAGGGCCTCAGGCATGCAAGGCAAGCACTCTACCACTGAGCCACCTTCCCAACCCCTACAAATGCATTTTAAAAAAACATTTCCTGGTTCCTAGCCAGATGCCAATGGCTCGTGTCTGTAATCTTACCTACTAAGGAGGCTGAAATCTTAGAATCATGGTTCAAAGTCAGTCCAAGCAGGAAAATTTGTGAGACACTAATCTCCAATTAAGCACCAAAAAGCCAGAAGTAGAGCTATGGCTCAAGTGGTAAAGTACCAGCCTTGAGTGAAAAAGCTAAGATACAGCACGCAGGCCCTTAGCCTGAGTTCTAGTACCATCTCCCCCCTTCCTCCCCCCAAAATCATGGTTCTCTAATAAGCAAAGTAACTCTGTACATCTAGGCCTAAAATTTTATGTAGAGACTGAGGAATTCCATAGATCCCTAAAGAACTCCTGTTTTATAATTTGGGCCACTCTCATGAGCATATGAACCAGTTTTTCAAGAAAGAAGTTGAAATTTTTCCTCATTTTTCTTAACATCTAATTAACCTGGAAGGGTTCAACAGCAATTAAGTTGGCCTCAAATGCCTTTCAGGCAGTCTGCCTGCTGACCCATTAGTCACCATTGACTAATATTCACCTTGTGTGACTGTGTATGTTTGCAAAGGAGATTGGGTGGTACTAAGTTGGAGACTGAACAGTCTTAACAATTCTCAATGGAAAATTTATATTCTGCTAATAGTCTTCAAATTGACAGCCCTGTCAGGTATTGTTTGGGTTTTATCAATAAGGGCCTCATGAAAGTCAGGATAAAGGGAAGATTGTCTTTTCAGTGCTGACTTATTTTTTTAATGTCTGTAATTAAAAAGAACAGGGAGGAGGCAATACAAACCATCAGCCTTTCAGCTCTTCTAATGGCAAAATCATACGCAGGAATTATAGTGGCATGTCCAGAGAAGGGGGAAGGCTTTCACAGTGCTCCCCCTTTGGTTGTGTTTCTTTGGCGGAGGAGCCTGCCTTGCCTCTGCTTCTGGCCTCTTCCCTTTGGATGCCACCACCCTCCCCATCCCCACCCCCACTTATCTCAAGTGCAGTCACTTCCTTTCTTTACTTCTGGGAAATTACTCCAGGTTATGGCACCCTCCTGCTCAGGATAAGATTTTAACTGATCAGCTGCTTTTTCTTATTTACCTGTTTCTTCCATAAGGCTTCTGGTAGACAGATTGGTGCCTTTTTGTTTCATTTTTTTATATCACAATCTAAAAATGACATAAATTCTGAGTCCCCCCTCCCCATTCTCCCCTCCCTAGAATGAAAGCTTCATGAGAGTAGGGATGTTATGGTCTCATTCACTTCTATATTCCTGTTATCTAGAACAGGGCTCGTCCTGGGGACTGACTACCAGGTACTTAGTAGACTTTGTGAGTAAATGGGTGAATGGATGAATTAGAATGAGTGAATTTTCTCCCATAAATTCTTCAAGGAAAAGAGTGGGGAGGGAGGAGGGGGGGACGTGCTTGTTTAATTTATAGCTTCTATCACCTCTCATAGGTTTTCTTACAGGATAATTTGTTCTCTGCCTGGACTACTGCTTCCATTTTAGAACTTTCTATGGCTTATACAGAACTTAAAGTACTCAAAATAATTTGGCTAGTCAACAAACTCTTTTATCAGAAACTTAAGCAAAGTTTTTCAAAAGTTTGGCTAACAGCCAAACTCAGGTTCAAACCTCAGTTTCTCTCCTTAGCCTCAATTAACTAACCTGCTTTATAAGGTTACTTTGAAGACAAAATTGGTTACTCTAGGAAGTGTTATGAACCATTCAGGGAGGTATATACTCAATAAATGTTGGTAGGAAAATGAGTGATAATGGGGGTAAGGTTAGATTGGTAATATTATAGAATAAGTGTATTAGTTACTTTTGTATAGCTCTGATGAAAATGCCTGACAGAAACAACTTACGGAGTAGCAGATTTAATTTTGTTGGTTTCAGAGAGGTCATCCCTCTTAACAGGGAGGGTGTGGCAGAGCTAGGGGTAGAAAATAAAGAGCCTAAGACAACATAGAGCTCTCAAAGACGCACTTCAGTAATTTATTTCCTCTTACCTTTTACTGTTTTCCAATAATGTCATCATATTATGATTCTATTAAATTATTCAAGTGATTAGATCAGAGCCTTAGGTTCTAATCTTCTCTGAAGACACAGACACCCCATCCTGAATTTTACTAATCACTAAATCCAATCGGATTAGCAACCAATTAACAGTTACAATGTGTTTTTATACTTTTTCCTTATCTGATAATTCCATTGTACTAAATTCTTATCATGGTTTTCCCAAAATGGAAAAGTGACATCCTCTCAGAAGTATTTTTGCCACTTGAAATGTGCACATTAAGTAAAGATAGCTTACTAAGAAAATGGTTTGTTTGTTTGCTTGCTTTGTGGGTCATGGGGCTTGAACTCCAGGCCTTGGCACTGTCCCTAAAGTTTTTTGCTTAAGGCTAGTACTCTACCACTTTGAGCCACAGCTCCACTAAGAAAATGTTTGCTTATTTACGTTGGTTTACAATTATCATGACAAGTTTATTTTCATGAGGATACTGAATAAATATTTCATCCCTAGAGTCTGTATAAGTTTCCTCTCTTTGGAATATTTCTATAATACTATTCTCTGTACTTAAGTCTTTTTCACATAAATTTTAGAGAAAAAATTTAATAAGGTATTACTTGTTATAATAAAGTCAGAGTAAACTCCCCAGCATGGAAGATTTCTCATTAGATTATCTTCACATATTTAGAAATACTGTATTTTGCTTCTTCCATGATGAATCCGTTCATGGCCAGAACAGAAGTTTCCATGAAGAATTAGGTCCTTCTTATGAATGAGGTGGGAGTAAGGAGTAAACCCAAAGAAAACCTTCAACTGCATTCCACACCCTTGGCTGATGACTTATAGTATTGTGGACTTTGGGCGGAGAAGGAAACTACAAATAAAACTTATACCTAGTCATCAGTTGGTGACATAAATCTGCATTTTCTGGGTTTATTACTAATAATAAAAATATAGTTCATAGCTTCCTAAATTAGACAAAACTGTGTTTCATTTTCTGTCTAGGCCTCTGCTAGAATTTAAAAAAACAAAAAGAAACTTAGAGAAGATCCTTTTGTTTTGTTTTGTTTTTGGTTGATTGTAGGGCTTGAACTCTGGACCTGGGCACTGTCGCTGAGCTCTTCAGCTCAAGATAAGCGCTCTACCACTTGAGCCACAGCACCACTTCAGTTTTCTGGTGGTTAATTGGAGATAGGAGTCTCACAGACTTTCCTATCCAGGCTGGCTTTGAACCACGATCCTCAGATCTCAGTCTCCTGAGTAACTAGGATTACAGGCATGAGCACCAGCTCCTGGCTTGGAAAAGATCTTAAAGGAACAGCGAACACAGAAGTAGTAGGAGACAAGGTGTCTGCGATTTTTCTCCTCTGTTTCTTTATGGGACTTCGTGGAGTATAAGTTTGTCCATGAAGCAACTTGTGTTTTGTTCTTGAATGCATTGTTCTAGTTTCGGTCCAGGATCGGTCTCTGCCCTCCTCTCCCTGGGTCCAGGAAGCAGCCAGCTTAGAGAAGTTAATGATGTCACTTAATTGTAATTCTTATGTACCAGTCCTATTTCTTTCCACTAAAGCTTTACTATGCAGTTGGTAGAGCTCTGGTATTGTATGTATGTTTATTTGAATTAGGGAAGGGAAGGGGAACAACAGAATGGTGAGACAAAGGACAAGGGGGGGAATGACAAGAAATGTACTCATTACCTTACTTATGTAACTGTAACCCCTCTGTACACCACCTTGACAATAACAATAAATCAACAAAAAGAAAAAGTTCTCTAAAGTGATGTGGACAGAAATAGAAGACAAGAAAAGAAATAAATAGCATACCAAAAAACAAAACAAAAGTAAGGTATTTGGCTTGGAAGGAATGTGGAACTGAATCAGAAGTTCAGAGCAGAAGCCACAAAACTAAATTATTTGAATAAAAGACAAAAAAGAAGAAAGAAACTTGGTTGGTCTGAATATCTGTTTTGGTCTTTTAATGATCAAAACATTTGTCATAATGATAGTTAGTTGGAAAGACCTTTGGTTCCAGAATATGGCAGCTCTGTGGTTCACCGGGCTCATTTGTATGTGGTATGGAACTGTGGGGTGGTGATTACCAGGAACCGTTCACAAATAGAATCTTCTTTCTTCTGCTTTCCAGATTTTCCCCTGATGGAAGACTCATAGTATCGTGTAGTGAAGACAAAACGGTTAAAATTTGGGATACCACAAATAAGCAGTGTGTTAATAACTTCTCTGATTCTGTAGGGTAAGTCCGTCCTCTTTGTACATCTATATAAGTCAGTTTGCTAAGGAGATATTGCATTAGATCAAATTTAAATCTTAGGCCAGCATATTATGTCTTCCCAGATTTGCAAATTTTGTGGACTTCAACCCTAATGGGACATGCATAGCTTCAGCAGGTTCTGATCACACCGTGAAAATCTGGGATATCCGAGTAAACAAATTACTCCAGCATTATCAAGGTAACAGTTTCCCCAGCCAGAACACGGACACACACACACACAGAGTTTTGAATGGTTGTTCTAGGAAAAGATACTTTCATGGGGTTGGGGGCTGCCTTTGAATTGAGTAAGAACAGTATGTAGTTAGCTCTCAAAACCAGGAAAGGTGAAATTACCATGGGGCTTTTTAAACTGTTTAAAAACAGTTTAATGGGGATGCAAGTCACAAGTTTGAATTCTGAATCACAAGGCATACACAATCCCAAATGGATGTTGTAACTGGTAGAAAACAACTTCCTACTATGTATATTGAAACTAAAAGATAAATAAATTTTTCTTGATTTGTATTGGCTTTACAGTATATTAAATCCACCTTGTTGTCCTGTGTAAGAGTAATAAAAGCTGTCACTTGGTGTTTACTATGTAGTAGAGACAGTTAATCCTCAAAATATTCCTTATTATTACTTCCTCCATTTCAAAGATAAGAAAAATTAAAAGTAGAGTATAACTTGCTCAATAATGGATAGAACTGACAAGACTCTCTGCTGGCTAGAATATGGAACTTTTTTGTTGTTGTTGTTGTTCTGGTTATGGGGCTCAGGGCCTGGGCATTGTCCCTGAGCTGCTTTTGCTCAAGGCTAATCGTCTACCACTTGAGTCACAGCTCCACTTCTGGTTCTTTTGTTTGTTTGTTTTGTTTTGTTTGGGAGGGCAGGGATTGGTGGTTTATTGGAGATAAGAGTCTCATGGACTTCACTGCCCTGGCTGCCTTCAAACCATGGTCCTCAGATCCCAGGCTCTGAAGTTGTTAATTTTTGCCTTTATCTCTACAAATTAGTTCACAACTGTGGAGTTAACTGTGTGTCATTCCACCCTTCGGGTAACTACCTCATCACTGCTTCTTCTGATGGCACCCTTAAGATTCTGGATCTCTTGGAAGGAAGACTCATATATACGCTTCAAGGACACACGGTATAAACTCCAAGATCATTGTCTTTTAAATAAAATCTATTTTACTGTCACAAAAGTTGCTATTATCACAAATTGTTTTACTTCTAGAACCCTTTTTATTTTATTTATTTTAGATGATAGAGAGTACTGGGGTTTGAACTCAGGGACTCATGCTTGCTAAGCTGGTATCAAAACACTTAAGTCATTCTTCCAGCCCTGCTTTAGGTTTCTTTTCTTTCTTTTTTTTTTCTTCTTCTTGTTACTTTTGAGATAGGAGTGTCAAACTTTCTTGCCCAGCCTGGCCATAAACTACATCCTCTTGCCTTCAGCCTTCCAAGTAGCTTGTAGAATAGGTGAGAGCCTCTAGAACCACACTTTATTTCTCATCAAAATCAGTATCTTTCAGTCAAGCATAGTGCTATACATCTGTGATCTGTACTCAGGAGACTGAAGCAGGAAAATTGTGAGTCTGAGACTGGCCCAGGCAGAAATTGAGACCCTTTCTCAAAACCAGGTGGTAGAGTGCAACTGTAGCATGGTGAGGCATTTGGTGTTGAATATAAACTATTTCTCTCTAGTGAGTAAACATTCAAATGTCTATGAATATTTTAGAGTGGATCCTCTTTGGCTTTTTCTTGTTTTTTTTTGTTTTGTCTTGTTTTTGGATATACTAGGAACTTCCTTTTAGGCAAGCATACTGTCTTCTTTTTAATATATATATATATATGTTATTGTAAAGATACTGTACAGGAGGGTTACAGTTACATGAGTAAGGTAATGAGTACATTTCCTGTCGAGCATTGTTACCTCCTTTGCTTTACCCCTACCCTCCTTTCCCTCCCCACCTCCCTAAGTCCTCCCTCCCTACTCCCCCACCGAAGTTGTAAAGTTTGTTTTCAACATCGTGTCTTGTACATCTCACTGTTACAGTGGGTCAACCTGTCTCCTTATTTCAGTATTTTGTTATTTCCCTTCCCCTCCCCAAATTAGAAAAATGTTTATATAAGATGCAGGGCACTGGAATCAGATACAGTGACAACAGGGGTTATACCATAGGGGAAGAACATATAAAAGAAACAAAAAAAATTATATAGTTCATTATAAGTACATTAAAAACAACAGCAAGAAAGATAAAACCTCTTGTGTCCCTATCTTGGGGTTCATTTTGCTTAGCATCATAGTTAGGATAGAATGGGTTTTGTGGTCTAGAAAGGAAAGAGTATGCTTCTACCTTCTTTATCCTGCCTGCTTCCTACTTTGTCATTTTTTTGGCCTCAATATTAGGGGGAAGCAGAAATGGACAAACCAGCTGAGATATATGCATACATGCATAGGATTTGGGCTGAAAAAACATAATAGAAATTATCAGGAGCCTAAATGTCTATGAAGGAAGTAAAAAATAATAGAGAAAGTATATAAAAGTAAATATAGGAGAAAAGCACTCTACATTAAGATGGAATTGTTCATAATTTGGATGTGAAGGTGTTTCTGAAACTTAAGCAGTCTAAATCTATGGCAGGGTGCACTTGGGAAACGTGAAATGTTTTTTTACAGACACTACTTGCATAAATTAAAGGCATATTTAAAATACAACATATTATACCTTTTGAGATAAAGAAATAACTCGGCTATTGGTCTTGTGATTATGCCAAGCTTAGTAATTGCACAAGTTCTAGTCTCTCATCTGTAATCCCAATGACTTCCTGACTGGCCTTCCACTGGTCTTTCCCACTCAAATTTGTGCTTGCTGCAACTGTGGTACTGATTTTCATCCATCACTGCTTTCCTCCCATGTGCGTCCTTTTATGAAGACCTTACTAGTTCCCTGCTGCCCACTTCACAAGAGAGAACTCAGTGGATCCTGTTGTGTTCAGGACATGGCTTTATTTCTCTACCTTCATTTCCCTCCCTTATGTACTTAAGTGTTTGCTAGCCATTGGATGAATTACAGAATATACAGCAGAAAAATCTTAACAGAAATGATCAATGTATGCATATACAATCCCTTCTTCAAAGGAGAAACAGGTTATTGATTTTTGGTACTGCTTTATGTTTAGTATCATTTATTTGTATGTTAATATCAGTAGGCTGGTTCTTTGATTATATTTACTGTGCCAGCATTAGTTGCTAGGTGCTGGTTGGGTGCTGTCAGACTTAGGATGTCCTCTTGGCCTTGGGAAAGCTTCACTACATGTTATTTTTCTTTCTCTTCCCTTTGTTTTTTAGGGACCTGTCTTTACTGTTTCCTTTTCCAAAGGTGGAGAGATGTTTGCATCAGGTGGTGCAGATGCACAGGTTTGTATGTTTTTTAGTTCCCTCTTAACTTGAACAGAAGGATTTGATTAGACTAAAGGAATCTTTGACCCCTGCTGAGATTTGTACAACCATCTAGTTTGTGCATATGAAGATGATTATCTATGGTTTTACATTTTAATTTAGTGACAGGAAGTCTGCCATCTCATAGCTGAAATAGTTCCAGTTCAAATAAATTTTAGAATTGAGAAACCAATTTTTTTTTTCACTTTTCCATCTAGCTGTGTTTGTATATATCATGGACACTTTCTCAGTGTCTATGTTCAGGGCATAGCCTCTTGGCCTAAATTATGGCCTAATCCTTTGTCTTCAGATCTTGTTTCTTCAGATGTTAAATAACTGTACCACATGTCCTTGAGGAAACTAAGTACAGATCATATAGGAGGCAAATCATACATTTATGTGAAATAATCCAGTCATTCATATTACCAGATGTATTAGATAAACTTGATTATCAAGCCAAAAGCATGATTGGGGCTTTAGTGGGGGAAAAAATAAAAATTTAAGATGTTACCTTAGAATGAATTTTAAACCAGGCACAATGGCAATTTGAAATGGTAAATCTCTTCTTATATCTTGCCAAAAAAGTTGTTGAGAAATAGTGAAATCATTGGAATATAGATGTATATGTGTATACGTAGCCTTTCTGTCTACTTTGAGGGATAGTTCTGTTATCTCCCTTAAACAAAATAAGTTCTGTTTGTATGTGTGAATCAATAACCACCAACATAATTGACTTTCTTGTAGGTCTTACTGTGGAAGACTAACTTTGATGAGTTGCATAGTAAAGATCTTAATAAAAGAAATCTCAAAAGATTGCATTTTGATTCTCAACCACACCTTCTCGACATCTACCCAAGAACACCACATCCCCATGAGGGAAAAGTTGAGACTGTTGAAGTGAGTATTTGTCCTACATTCTAGGTACACTGGGGGCTGTTACTCAGTCAGGTGTTTGAAATTATACGTACTTTAGAAAAAACCTAGTCCTAACCTAAAACAGCAGTGCTATGAGAAAGTTGTTCTGTGTGCTGAGGTACAGTGACATCATTCATGGTTCAGGTTGAGATCCCAAACTATCTCCAGGGTTTCTAAGTTTCCCACTCCCATTATTACTCTAGTTCCAGTTTCCTTGGTCTTGATATTTCTCACACAGTCCCTCCCCACTCTTCCTCTTTGAGGAAGCCCCTGCCTAGCAAGTATGAAGCCATGCCTCTAGTTCTGGCTTTGGGCTTAATTGGAGGACAAGAATCTCTTTATTCTTTTGCCCTAACTGGCTTTAAAACACAATCCTCAGGTCTCAGCCTCCTAAGTAGATAGGATTAGAGGCATGAGCCACTGGCCCTTGGTTAATTTCTGTTCTTCTAACAATATGGTAGTTATTCTAAAGTAATAACCACTGAGCTTTATTACTTTTTTAAACTTTTAAAAATTATTATTATAAAGGTGATATACAGAGGAGTTACAGTTACATAAGTCAGGCAATGAGTACGATTCTTTTTGGACAGTGTTACTGCTTCCCTCACTCTCTGTTTTTCCCTCCCATCCCTACTCACAAGTTATATAGTTCATTTTCAATAGAGTCTAGTGATTATTGCTGCTACCTTTTTAACCCTTTGTCCTTCCATTTCTGTGTCCCCTTGTATTACTTCTTAATGCCACTTACTGTATTACCATTTTCCTTTTCTTTTTTGTGTGATGCTGGAAATCAAAACCAGGGCCTCAGACATACTAGGCAGGTGTTCAACCACTGAATTGCATTTTCAGTGCTCATTTTTTCATTCATTCTTTGAAAGAAAGAATGTAATTAGCTCTAAGCCAGGCGCTGGTGGCTCATGTTTGTAATCCTAGCTACTCAGGAGGCTGAGATCTGAGGATCAAGGTTCAAAGGCAGCCCAGGCAGGAGAGACCGTGAGTGGCACTGTGGCTTAAGTGGTAGAGATCTAGCCTTAAGCTGAAGAGTTCAGGGACAGTGCCCAGGCCTAGAGTTCAAGCCTCATGACTGACCAAAAAAAAAAAAAAAAAGAATGTAATTAGCTCTTTAATCATTGTTTTTTTCCTCTTCAGTTCCTATAAATTTGTTTACCTTGGTGATCACACATGGTTGTATTAAATATATTTTAATTTAACTTGAATATCCTTTTCTTGTGATACCAAAATGGTTTTGGCTTTTTTTGTTTTTTGGCACTACTGGGGTTTAAATTAAGGCTTCATACTTGCTAGACCACTTGAGCCATGACTTTTTACTTGTTATTTATTTATTTATTTTTGGGTCCGGTCGTGGGGCCTGAACTCTGGGCCTGGGCGCTGTCCCTCAGCTCTTCAGCTCAAGGCTAGCGCTCTACCACTTGAGCCACAGTGCCACTTCCGGCTTTTTTCTTTTTGTTTATGTGGTGCTGAGGAATCTAACCCAGGGCCTCAGGCATGTAAGGAAAGCGCTCAACCACTGAGCCACCTTCCCAGCCCTTTCCTTGTTATTTTTAAAATAAGGTTGTGATTTTTGTCTAGTCCCACCTATGCTAGGCTCCCATTGGTGCTTCTTGGCATAGCTGGGATGGCAAACAAGCACCACCACCGTGCTACGCTTTTTCTTTTAAGATAGGGTCTTATGACCTTTTCCTTCTGGCTGGCCTAGAACCACAATCTTGACCTGAGCTTCCCACAGATTTGGGCATAAACTACTGATCCCAACTATTGCTTAAGATGGGAATTTCATGATTTTTTTTTGCCCTGGATGACCTCTTGAGTAGCTAGGACTATACACATGAACGCCAGCACCCAGCCAGATGCTCAGCATTTTTGCTCCAGCATTTCTCTGGTCTGGCCAGGCATGTCCAGGGGAAGATACACTGCTGTCTTGTCGCCCATTTGGTCATCTCACCAGGGTGCAGCCGTAAAACTGCAGGGGCTACCTTGCCTCCTCACCTCTAACGAGTGATACTTTCACAACATCATGCTATCCCAACACAGATGCAAGCCATTCCTGCCATGATGTACTGTCAGCCCCAATCCACTTAAGAGAGCTAGATTTATTGTAAGATGTCAGCAAGTTGTCTGAGCAGCTCTGCTTTGTCTGGACAGCCAGAAAGCCATAAAACCAGCTGGGTTGCTTTGTATTGCCAGGTCACTGTGACCCAGGCTGTGAAGACAGCTCTCAACTGTACTTTTCACAAATAAAGTTCTATTAAAAACTGGCTTTTCCTTGTGGAATTGGAGGTCAGTGGCACTCTACTTAATGCTGAGCATTGAGACTGAATTGTTCACGAAGCCCTGAGGAAATTGGCTTCATGCATCCCGTGTAAACTATCTGCTAGTGTTATGGTTGCTTAGGATGATCACAAAGCTTTGTAAAACAGATAGGCACTGTCATATACAATGCCAGAGAGGTGACAAGATTTTGCACATGGACAATGAACAGTTTAGTTTTGAAAGTCCCATAATAAAGGTGTCTAGGTAGAAGACATCTTTAGCATTATAGAGAAACAATTATGGTATTCACAATTTTTGTTTAAGATTGTACTTCACATTAAGCAAAAAGAGACCTCACAGAGCCAAAAAAGAGCAAGGAGAGAAGGAGGAAAGAGCCCAAAAAAAGAAAAAAGAGAGAAAGGAGAGGAGGAGGAAGGGAGGGAGGAAGAGGGGAAGAGGAGAGAGCGAGACAGAGACAGACAGAGAGAGAGAGAGAGAGAGAGAGAGAGAGAAACTACTGAACCTAAAAGCTTTACCTACTGTGAATTGGAATAGAGGTAGTGCTAGATTGAAAAGTTTTTCAGTGCTCTAGGCAATATGAGCTTATATATGTTAACTATTTTAAAACTGCAAAACCTTTTGACTATTCATGATTTAAAGAAAATAAAGAGGCACTATTGAAATATATTGAATAGGCATTATCTAGTGGTTCCTGTAAGCTTTCTCTTTTTGCAGAAACAAGAGCTTTATTTCTTGAAGCAAGATAGGATTCCTCTGACTTGCATCTAATTATTTTCTGTGTGGCTCATTTGAATGTATAGTCTCAATCTTTTGAGTGATATTGAACTTTGGCAAAAGCAATTCATTAAGAACTCTTCTTGTTTTAAGGTGAGGAATCCTGCAGAGTCTGAGATCTTGCGTAGCAGCTTACTAAATGTATAAATTACCAATTCCTACTTGGTTATTTCTTTTCTTTTTTTTTTTCTGTTTACTACTTGGAAAGAGAGATGTGTTAGCCGGGTTGCTTTGAGAGGGCCCGAGGCCCTTAGATCCTTGCTGGATCCTTGCTGTATATGTGTGTGTGTGTATGTATGTACGTATGTATGTATGTGTGGATGGATGGATGGATGGATATGTGTGTGTGTGTGTGTGTGTGTATGTATATAGACACAGTTTCCTTATACAGCCCTCTCCCTCTTTGCTTGATGAGAAAACCATAAAGCCTTCTAAAGGACAGGGATAGATCTTGGTGACAGTAAATCCAATAGTTATTGCTGGGAGAATTGTAGAATATTGTGAGGAGTAATGAAGAGTTAATGTACTAGAAATATAAATATAATTATTTTGATGGTTCTCTATTTTATAATGGCCATTTAATATTTCCTTAGTTTATGATTGCATATAACATTATGAATGGTATTTAGCAGAAAGGAATGTATCTTTATTAATTTTATTTTATTGTAAAGGTGATATACAGAAGGGTTGCAGTTACAAAAATAAGTTAATGAGGACATTCCTTGTCGAACATTGCGAATGCATCTTTTAACTTAATATGTAAGGTATTTTTTTGCTAGCAAGACCATCATGATTTCTTGTTGAAAAGTATTTATTTAAGTGATCAATTGAAGTCTTCTTGAGACCAGATTTTCAGGTCAATTTTCTGTAAAGGTTGAAATATTGCCACTTAGAATAAAACTAATGACCCTTTGTCTTCTGGTTTTAGGTTTTAATTCTAGTTGACTTAGATGCTTTTACTGCTTTAAACTTCAATAGGTATCCTTTTGAGATTAAGTGATAATGATAGTTATAATATTCAACACTTTTATACTTTTCTAAGTGCTTTACATAAACTATTTACTATTTCTAAGGTTCCTGTAAAAGTAACATTTCATCCACATGAGCAACTGCGGCAGTTGCGAGTTAACAGAATAGATGGCAGCCCTAGATTTCCAGCCCAGGTATGCTGGTTCTATTTTGTGTTGTCAACCTCTTTGATGTAATGTTCAGTAGGATAAAAATTCAGTTTTCAAGACAAGTGCTGGTGGCTTACACTAGCTACTCAGATGCTAAGATCTGAGGGTTGGAACTCAAGTCCATGAGACCCTTTTGTCTCCAGTTAACCACTAAAAAGCTGGAACTGGAGCTGTAGCTTAAGTGGTAAAGCATTATCTTTGACTCAGCCTCCCAGCCCACTCCGTTTTAAAGGAACTTAATTATTGTAACAACTTGTTCCGCAATGTAGTAAAGTGCGAAGTTTCCTGACTTGGAGAAGGTGGAAGATTTATTTTTTTGATTTTTATTTTATTTTATTTTATTTTTTGCCAGTTGTGGGGCCTGAACTCTGGGCCTGGGCGCTGTCCCTCAGCTCTTCAGCTTAAGGCCTAGCACTCCACCACTCTAGCCACAGCACCACTTCCAGCTTTTTCTGCTTATGTGGTGCTGAGGAATCGAACCCAGGGCTTCATGCATGCAAGGCAAGCACTCTACCACTGAGCCACCTTCCCAGCCAGTGAAAGACTTTTCTTTGATAGGTGAGATTCTTTTTATTTATTTTTCGTTTGTTTCCAGTTTCAGTTGAATCCAGTACTTGGCAAACACTTCCATATCTACACTAGGTGGCAGTAGACAAAAGAGAATGTCTGTAACAGTCTCCCAGAACAGCTGGCCTAGGATTAAAAGGAGCCAGCAGTAAGACATGCTGAGTATCTCTTCTTTGGTGTAAGCTTCAGATTCAAAGCTAACACAATGAGACTATATCTCTTATCTGCTTTGTGGACCAGTCAGAAAGAAGGTGTTGGCTAGTTGGGCTGATGGTCCTCATTCCTATCCTGCACCCATTTCATCCCTCTTTGTCTATAACTTGACCATTACAAGGGTATGTTCACCTTCACCTCTAACACTACTACTAGCTGGAGCATTACAGAATGTTCTTACAGTTTCATAACCTGCAGCTATAGGACGTGGCAAGATATCACACACCTATAATCCTAGCATTCAGGAAGCACAGGCAAGATCACCAGTGGGAGGCCAGCCCAGGTTATATCCAGGTTATAACTACAGCTGTGGCTGCCAAGCATAAATAACTTATTCTACTCATCTTACCAGGCATTCAGGCCGCATCTCTGTAGTACTGGACTATCACAGCAGTGTCTCACTGCCATTCCCCATTCCTTTGTGCTTTCTCTGCCTCTTTCAGATGAATCGAAAACATTTTACATGCCAACTCCTTGTGCTTTTCCAGATGGCTTCACCCTACACAGTTTCACCTTTCTAACTTCTCTAGTCATTTGTGACACAGTCTCCTGTTTGTGATCTTCAGTATATTAATTGTTGGTCCCTCTACCTTTGTTGTCCTTTATATTGCCTTGGAGATGTTTCTATGTTAATTTTTTTGGTTTTAACATTTTTGTTCCTTTTTAAAAAAAATTTATTGTCATGGTGATGTACAGAGGGGTTACAGTTATAGTTTGAGTATTGGAACAACCTCCCTCAGAGGGTATCCTCATCTAGGAAACCATTCTTTTGATTTTCTTTGTGATCTTATAAGAAATATTTGAATTGATGCTTAATTATTGTTTAGTTTTGAATCATCTTATACTTTATATGTATCATGTTGCACTTTATATGAACAGAATAATATTGAATGTATTCTGTAATTTCCTTTATTATTCCATGTTCAAATATATGACTCTGGAAATTCATATATTTAAAATCTGAATTCTTTTTTGGGGGGTGTCCAGTCATAGGGCCTGAACTCTGGGCCTGGGCACTGTCCCTCAGCTCTTCAGCTCAAGGCTAGCGCTCTACCACTTGAGCCACAGCGCCACTTCCGGCTTTTTTCTTTTTGCTTATGTGGTGCTGAGGAATCAAACCCAGGGCCTCAGGCATGCAAGGCAAACGCTCTACCACTGAGCCACCTTCCCAGCCCCTTAAAATCTGAATTATAGGCAAAGTTGTACACAGTTCTAGTCCATTAATTTTCACTGCTGTTTTATATTTCAATGAACTCACCATAGTAGTAGTTAATAGACATTTGAGGTATTTTTGGGTTGGGGGGGGTTGGGCCATTACAGGGAATGTGATAAACAGTGTTGTTGGTGTCATTGAACTCTCTAGACTTGGAAGTCTAGTTGGTTGGTTGTTTTGTTTATTCATTCTTCTCCTTAATAACATCTCTGAGCATCTCTTCATATGCTGACTGTTTGATTTTCACTTCTATAGCTTTTTTCTTGTGGCTGCTGTTCTTTCCCTACTGATTTTTAGTTTTTCACGTGTATTTTAGATATTACTTTTCCATTTTAGACATCATAATATCTCTACCTGTTCTACTATCTAATGCTTAAATTTGTGGTGTCTGTGGTTAGAAACCACATGGCTAGACTGAATTGGTTAGACTATCATTCAGATAAATTTTTTTTCTTTGCTTTTGCTTTTTGCTGTTTTTAAGATGCCTTTTCAACCACTCTGTTTATATTTATTTATTGTCTGGTTGTAGCATAACATTTATTTAGATTTGATTTGTCTGCTGCCTACCTTTATGCAGTATTAGGCAGGAATCCATGATGTAATTTTAAAATGATGCCACTCTTCTACTGTTCATTTGTGTTCCTGTTTGTCACTTTTCCTGTGTACAGCTCTAAGCCTTCTGAGCTCTTGGTGCTGCACTTTCCATTTATCTGAGGCTTCATTAATGTAAGAACAAGCTTTTTATTTTTACCCATAAGGTTCTATATATCTTCATATATTTATTTTGATATATTTATTTTGATTTATTTAAAATTTTTATGGTATTAGTGGCATCTTTTCATATTTTCTAACTCATGATCTGATTCATACATGATTTTGTTATATATATATACATATATGTGTATGAGTATACACACATGTATATATATTGCATATTGCCTGTATATATGTTGTATATATTGCATATATACACATGTGTATGCAAGATACACTATGCAGTTTTGTTAAATTGGCTTATTAATGATTTAACAAGTAATTTTTTTGAGATTTTTTTCCATAGGTAATCATTTTATATATGAATGACATTTCTTGAAATTGTTATATCTTATAACACTTATTTCTTAATGATCTGGCTAGGATATTTTTCTACAGATTTTGAAGTAGGTCATTTTGTTTTTAATATTCCTGGATAGGTGAACCACATTGATTTTTTTAATGTAAAAATTACTGTTTATTCCGGTGGTAAATTCAATTTTGTCATTATACACCGATATTTTGTAGGCTAATAATTACTTGATATTCATGTTAATAAATATGTTTACATATTTTACACTATATTAGAATTATCCCCTATGATTTTATAAATTTCATCCAGTATCTTATGGTATAAAAATGTCACATTAACTTTTTTTACGTATATACACAGATTAATCCAAAGCTTGATGTAATCGATTTGCAAAGTTCTTCTCCCCCTGTTGTGGACATCCTTTCTTTTGATTCTACTACAGTAAGTTCTTATTTTTAATTAAAGTGGTGTTTATTTAGCATAATATGTTTCCTTAAACAGCATGTAGAGGAGAAGATAAAATGTGGACTTCAGTAGCTTACTATCTTAGAGCAGCAAGGTATTATGCAAAAATTTCTATCTGTAATGTATAGAAGAAGCCACAAGGGGGAGCAGCATTCATTTCTAGAATATTTTTAAGGCTCTGTTGCTCAGTCTAATTCATACTTATTGTCTCTTCCGTTAATATGCCACAAAGTAACTTTTAACTTCCCCATTCCAGAGAATATTTTCTACTGTGTTATTTGCCTTTCAGAAGAACTAATATTCTAACATTTTAGAAGCTATCAGAATAGCAATCATTTCCTTTGGTTTTTGTTAGTCTCTTTATGGATTATTCAAACATTAACCAGTACAAAGGAAAACGTCCTTTAAAAAAATTAGCCTAGTACTGGCACTGTCCTTAAGCTTTTTTTGCTTAATGCTCTACTCTATCACTTGAGCCGCAACTCCAATTCCAGCTTTTTGGTGGTTAATTGGAGACAAGAGTCTCATAAACTTTATTTCCTGGGCTGGCTTTGAACCATGATCCTCAAATTTCAACCTCTTACGTAGCTTGGATTATAGGTGTAGACCACTGGGGCCCAAGTTTTTATACCTTAATTTGTCAAAAATAATTATATGTATTTTATTAATATATATATTAGCTGTATAAAATAGTGGGTTTCTTTATGACATTTTCATGCATGTATATAATATACTTTGATCGTTTATTTACTGGGGTTGAACCCTGGGGCCTTAAACATGGTTTTTAAAAAGTGCCCTAATACTAAACTAGATCCCCAGCAACCCTGTCAAAAATTTTTATTCTTTTTTTGAAGACTAAATGCATTATTCTATGTGATATAAAAAATAATTGGTGGGGGGGAGGGAGGATACGAAGGGATGGGAAGGGGAAACAAAGGAGGAGGCTACACTGCTTGATAAGAAATGTACTCATTATCTTACCCATGTAATTGTAACCCCTCTGCACAGTATTTTCACAATAAAAAATATATAATAATAATAATAATTGGCTTCTACTCCTGCTTTTCCCCTTGACTTAGTGATGTATTCAGGATGGTTTTGAAATCTAAGTGTGCTCTGCTTTACTCCAGAGAAGAAGTTATGGTATCTCTGTTGTTTACACTTAAGTTGCAAATGCCTGGCAGGAAGGTTAGAGGGCTGGGGTTGAGGGTTAGAATAAACAGTTGCCAATCTGCATTTAAAACTATCTGTTGTAACAAAAGTTTCGGTAAAAGTGAGTACTGTTTGGCATTTGGATGTTTTAAAAATGCTCATTTTCTCCAATGCCTGAATCTTTGCCTCGGTTATATTAAGTCACTTATTCTATATGGTACTCATTTCCTAAAGCTATTTTACTTCCAGATGATGTTTCTATCTCTTAATATTTTTATTTACTTAGGTTTTGCAAAACTGTGACCACGGTTTGTCATCAGAACTTCACTAATTCAGCCTAGCATTCTTGAAGCCCTAGGTTCAGTCCCTAACACGGAAGAAAGTAAATTCTGTGTGGGCATTTAACATTAGCATTGATATATGGTCTGTCTACATAGGGTGTCTGAGACTTCCTCCAGGCCTCCCAAAAAGGATAAATTAAAGAAAGTTTGTTATTTATAGGACAGTTAATATTTTTAAATATATATACAATATGCATAAATATATAGAGTGTGTGTGTGTGTGCGTGTGCAAATGCACACACATGCACACAGAGCTAGGTTAGGTTCTTTAGAGTATCTGCCTCAACAGATGGCAAGTGGGGCAGCATGGGGCAGCATCTTAGGAAGATGCTGCCCATACACACGGCTCTAATAAGCATTTATTGAAATAACCACTCTGTGCTATTTTACCATTTTTAGTTTTAAGGAAATAAGCAAAACAAAAATACCTGCCTAAAGAAACCTACATTCTATTGGAAATAGGCAATTCGAAGACTAAATAAAAAATAAACTTTATGATGAAGTCCAAAACCACAACAGCACAGGCAGATCACTTGGCCAGGACAAAGTCACATGACAAGTGATGTTGGAGTAAGGGACTATGGGAGGGAAGACAGTGAGCTAAGTTCTGGGAAGGACTCTGGGTCAGCAGGATCAACAATTGGAAGGCCAAATCCACAGTGACAGAGGAGCCACCGGAAGGTTTTCTGCAGAGGAGGGAGAGGATTTGACTTCTGCCCTAGCAGAGGCTCTGGCTGCTGGGTGTGAACAGGCAGGGGAGTGGTAATGGGGGGTACCAGGAGAGTAATTAGGAATTCGGAAGCCAATGAAATGCTTAGTCACAAGGAATCGTGCTATTGCCCTCAACACTGGGCAATAGCAGAGGAACTAGCGATAAAAGATCCGGTCCTGGATACATTTTGAAGGCAGAGCCAAGAGGATTTCCTGACAGATTGGATGTCAGCTGTGGGATTCCCTATCTCCTTTCCCCAGGGACAGTAAGTTGTAGCCCTGAGTAATCTTAGGGTTAGCTGAGAATATCTCCTGGCTCTTCCTCATCTTGGCAGAGGGACTCCTAGAGAAAAAGAATCATCCTTTTCCTGCTGGGATCAGGAAAAGCCATCAGCTGAATCAGTGCAAGAGATACTTTGCTGTTTCCATGACTTTGGGAGTTGCCCTCCGCCTTCCTAAATGTCATCTAGATTTGTGTTTTTCAGCAAAGTGTATTGGTTTCTCATTTGGAAAGATTTTTAGGAGAAAAAAAAATCACGATCATGGGAACCAACCTATGTTATGTGGTATGTGAAACAATATTAAGGTATGGACAAAATAAATATATGGACACACCAAAAGGAGACCCGCAGCTCCACAGAGAATGCTTCCTGAGTATTGTGGCAACAGTGCATCCTGGTTACCAGACAACATTGCGTAACCAGCTGAGAGTTATTTCAGTGCCTAACTGCTTATGTAAGCAAAGATTTGGAAAGACTTACTTGAAAGAACACAGTGTATGTGAAATTAAATGTCTCAAAACTAAAACGTGTAGCTTTGAAAGTATAAAATGGCATATGCAATTTATTGTCCTAAGATGTCCCTCCTTTACTTTTCAAAGAAATTTGCTTTAAAAAATCATGTTGCACATATACCTGCTTTTTCTACTTTTCTGTATGCTGACTTTCTTCAATCTGTATAGACATCTTCTCAGTTTGGAGTGGGTGAGGTTTTAAAGTTTTTAAACTTTGTGTTTGGTTCTGAGACTAGATATGATTGTAGCTGCTTTCTGAGCTTTAGGGAATTCTGGCAGTATGGTATCTTAAAGCATTGTCCCCCAGTCCCTGCTATAAGAGTTTGAAGGAAATGCACTTAAGCATTTGTAGCATGCAGGCCTCTGGATTCTAGACTATCCCACTTTCCTTGAGAGACTTAGTCTTAACTTCAATGTATGATACAGTGTGAGAGTCAGTAGCTTATCAATTAACTCAAAAAGTTATACATTAAATCTTCCAGATGCTTAATTGTATAACATTATTGTAATATTTAAAAAATAAATTATGATCATTTCCTTTGCAATAAAAAGATGTGGAATAAATTGTCCAAGTCATATAAGCAATAGAACATACATTATAATCAAATTAAATGAAGAAAAATACATTTCTACAGCTTACCAGCCATTGAGTTTTATATTGATTCAGTTACAATTTGTAAAGTAGAGGAGAAAAAACATTAAAGATGGAATAAAGACTATTTCCAGATCCGTTAGATCCTTGCTTCTAAAGCACACCATGACCCATATGTTACAAAAACTGACAGTTGTGAATGTGAGCTGACTTTTTTTTTAAATATGCTTAAAAAACATATTTAGTCTATTAAAAGAACATAGCATGTTTTTCTAAATATAAGGATATGAGTAGCTTGGTTTTTAGTGTCACTGTGAAAGAAAACAATGTTATATTGATCAAAGACTTGAATAAAATTCTTTTAAAATTTTTCATTATTAATCTATAAGCACATGTACTGAAAACATAGACTGATCTCAGCTTCTTTCCTGTTAAGTTTCAGTTACAGAGAAAGAAAATGTAATAGATGTACCAAACATATCATAGTAATCAAGTTTTAAATAAGTATTCCCAGGTAAATACTGCTTTGTGTGAAATTGTTCCTGATTCCTGCAGACAAAATTGATGTAAAGCTTAAACTTTTCTATATATGATGTGTGTTTTGTTTTGTTAAAAGAAAGGAAACTCTACAAAAGGATTTTTTTTTAAATAAACATGCTATTTGGGACCCTAACAGAGTAAATACTTGTTATAATTTCCTTTAGAAAACCTTCATTTCTCGGAATCCAGGCTGTTGAAGTTCCAGGTATTATTTCTGCCTCTGCACTTCCTGAGACACTGAATTTCTATACTGTGACTCCCCCTCTTTCCTCCATCCCCCCCCCAACCAGGGACACTGCCTGTCCCTGGCCTGGGAATCCAAGTTGCATCCCAGGTTCCCACAGCTGAGAGTGAGGCATGCTGAAAATGCCCCACAGCTCTCAGCCCACACACACATCCCATAACAACCGGTTCCTTCCTCTTCCTGTGGAAGAGCCACATCCTCTGAGATGAGAAGAAATGCACCCGGAGGAATGCAAGGGCAGCAGTGAGCTTTTCACACAGGAAATTGCTCCGGTGGCGCTCTGAAAAGTGCTTGTCTTCTAGACTGGCAGCCATAAAGAGCTTCCTGCTGACCCAGAGCATGGTTTACTGCCATTTGTTTGGGGCTTGTTTGGGGAGGAGAAAGAGCATATCTTGCAGCTGTTCGGTATACCTCTGCCCATCTGGGTTTGAGTTATTTGGTATTGCTCTTGCTTTGACCACTTGATAGGAAGTTATTTGGTGGAAGTAGTCAGCCAGTCTGCCAAGTCAACTTCTCACTTAAGATGTTTTCTGAAGCCAAGTTTTAGAAAATCTGTTAAGGTTTCAGAAAGACTGTTAATGCTCTGCACTGGTCCTTGCCCAT